TTACATGATATTGCCCCTTAAACGCATTGACCAGACAACATGCAAACAAAAAACGTGAGTTGTTTTTCAGCTTATCTGGACAGGTGACAACGGTGCTTAATCCAAAAAGGACTGAAATGAGCAGCTGTTAGTATTTTTCATCCTTTGTTCCTGTGACAGCCTGCTGATAGTCGTGGGTTTGTTTCCTTTATTCCTGCCGATAGCCTGCAGGAGTCTTGGGCGGGGTGCGCGGGGTGGGTGTCTGTAATGTGGAAGCTTGGTGTAGTTTCCTTGGCTACACTGAGAAGATGTATTGGGAGCTCTAACCCTAAGCCCTTGGCATGTTTTTGATAAGAGGATAACATAATAACGTGATATAAAACTAAAAAAAATTAATTCTTGTCCATGCCATGGGCCCATCAAGACCTTGGAYAAGCCACCTGCAACCGGGCACTGATGCTGTAGTTACTGCGATATCATCCATAAATGCTCTAATTGGTGGTTGTTGGGTACCAGATCTGGACAAAGGGCCTCTGCACTCCACTTGACTTCACAAGCTTCGACTTGACTTGAAACATGACTTCACAATGTTCATGGCTAAGGCGAACAGAGACATGGAGATTGTGCAGCCAGTGACGATACCCCTCTGCAGGTGATGCCACTTTGAAGTTGTGGTCCCAGAGGACACCCTCAAACAGAAGTTCCTATAATAGTACAATTATAGTATAATAGTACAGGATGATGGTCTGTATCTTCMTTGGGACATGATATTTACTCAGGGCCAGCTCCACCACCTTATGTATTGATCTATAAGCATTGTCAAGATCAAGCCAAAGCACAGCCAGGTCCCCCTTATTCTCCTGTGCTTCACAGATCAGTTGCGTCACAACACCTGTGTGCTCAATACATCCTGGGATACCTGGCACTTCTCCCTTTTGGTCCGAGGTGTCAATGTAGGTGTTCTCCAAAAGAAATCCCATCAGACAATTGCCAACGATCTTGAAGGTCTTGCACTCCACACTGAGCAAAGAGATTGTCCTAAACTACATGATAGTGCTGTAAACTGCAGAATCCTGGCCTGTATATGAGTGTAAACTGTAGAGTCCTGGACTGTATATGAATGTAAACCACAGTCCTGTCCTGTTGATGAGTGTAAACTGTAGAGTCCTGGACTGTATATGAATGTAAACCACAGTCCTGTCCTGTAGATGAGTGTAAACTGCAGAGTCCTGGCCTGTAGATGAACGTAAACTGCAGAGTCCTGGCCTGTAGATGAGCGTAAACTGCAGAGTCCTGGCCTGTAGATGAGCGTAAACTGCAGAGTCCTGGCCTGTAGATGAGCGTAAACTGCAGAGTCCTGGCCTGTAGATGAGTGTAAACTGCAGAGTCCTGGCCTGTAGATGAGTGTAAACTGCAGAGTCCTGGCCTGTAGATGAGTGTAAACTGCAGAGTCCTGGCCTGTAGATGAATGTAAACTGCAGAGTACTAGCCTGTAGATCAGGGGTGTCAAACTCCTGTCCTCGAGGGCCGCTATCCTGCATGTTTTAGAGGTTTTCTTGCTCCAACACACCAGATTTTGATCGCTGGGTAATTAACAGGCTTCTGCCCAATTTGAAGAGTTAATTCAATCACTGAATCAGGTGTGTTGGAGCTGGAAAACCTCTAAAACATGCAGGATAGCGGCCCTCGAGGACTGGAGTTTGACACCCCTGCTGTAGATGAACGTAAACTTCAGTGTCCTGGCCTGTAGATGAGCGTAAACTGTAGAGTCCTGGCCTGTAGATGAGCGTAAACTGCAGCATCCATGCCTGATGATGTAGCTCTTCTGTGTTGGCCCATTCTTTTGAACAGTTTTGTTTTTCCGATGTACTGTATAACTGATCACAGTCCTCCTGACACTTCACAGCATATACAATATTACTGTTTGTGCCGGGGAGCTGGATCTTTGGAGTGAACCAGTCTTTGCTGTGATGTGTTTTTGGGGTTTGAAAGACACTGGGATGTCAAAAAGGTGGTTACATTCTGATGTCTGACATTTCTGATGAACCTGAAGGCCTTTCCACTCTGAGGCCTGCTAGCTGTGTGTTGACCATCAGACTATTACTTCAGGAAGGTGTCAATATAACACAGTGAAAAATTAACAATACAATTATAAAACATTATCTTGAAATTTACCTGAGTGAGCTGATGTACTTAAGAGTATCAAACAGGAACGCTGACACATTTTGGTAATCAGGAGTTGCAGTGTTCCAATAGAGTCGCACTTTAGCTACTTTAATCATCTGCATGACTTTCACAGCTTTTTTGAACAGCTGTTTTTTACCCACAACTGGAAGGTACACCTGGTCTTTGTGGAGARGCAGTAAGGTTTCATATTCCACTTTTCCTTCACTGAGGAGAAAAATCCTCCACAGCTGCTGCAGAAAAGTGTCAGACCTATAACACARAAAATAATGGTTATGAAGATTTATTTTATTGCTAATCAACCTTTTTCAGTATGTGGTGTAAACTTTAATAATATAACAAGTGTTTGCACTTACAAATGAACATATTCAAGGCAGCCAAACAGTTGTCTCATTCCTTGTTCTGATACAGTGACATCATCAAGTTCCAGATGTATTTTCCTTTCCTTTGACTGAGAGACCACATAGGCCACAGCACTGCAGGAGTAAGGGTCCATTTTCTCTCCACTGAGGTCAAGACGYTGATTTAGTTTGTTCAGGAGGTAAACGCAGGCTTCAGGGCTCTGGGACTCAAAAAAGCAATGATATAAAAACAMGTCGATATCAAAATGACTGTCATCAGAATCAACCTGAGGGGAAAATGTGGTTATTATCTCCTTAAAGAACCATTCTGATGTTTCCTTCAGCTCCTTAGGTGGAATCAGACAACTCATCAAACTGGGATTCTTCTCATTCAGTAATCGGCAGATGAAGGGGATCAGATGTTTCATGTGTTTCTTCTCCTCAGTGAGACATTGTTGAAGAACATCCTTGATTTGATCAGGATGCTTCAAAAGCCACAGAGCTGAAACAAACTCCTGCATCGTGTAATGGAGAAATGAATACATAGTTGTTGCTTCAGTTACAGCAACTTTGACATCAAGTTGTTTCAAGATAGAAAGGACACATCTGTCTTCACAGCACACATTCTCCAGATTCACAGACTTTCTTTGGGTTGCATTAAAAGCAGCTTCAGCCACAGACAGGATGTTATTACTTTTGGCTTTGATTAATGGGTTTAGATTCTTGGTTTTTGTTTTGTTGCCGTTCATCTGAAGGCAAAACCGAAAAATATTGATATAAATTTCTGTGATTGATTTTGGCTGTAGCGACTCTCCTGATGAAAAGCTGGCAGCCACCATTAGTGCATACATTGGAACATGACAAAGAGTTAACAACTCCAAGTTATTCAGAACCTTCTGATGCTCTTCACCAAGGACTGTAGACAAATATCTTCTAATCGTCTGCTCACTAAAGCCGTTCACATCTACTCGAAGATAGTCCTGAAGAAAATCATCTTCCTCATCATCTGGTCTGCAGGTTAGGATGATCTTTGCATCAGGTAGGAGGTCTTTTACTACAAGCTGTTTCACCACTGATGAAGAGAGATCTGTGATTCCATCTAATATTATGATAACATTATCYGAGTTGCTCTTCATATCCTGTAAGACCTCAGCTTTGCCTTCATCTGGTTCACTGTACCCATTGAAAATAAAATCCTCCAAACTCATGGCTGTGGTGCTGGCTGTTTCTCTCATATCAAAGTAAAACATGTAATCCAGATCCTTGTTGTCTTTTGTAGACCAGAGTCTCAACATTTCATGAGTCAGTGCTGTTTTTCCAATTCCAGGCTTCCCGACTAAGAGCAAGTTTTTACCAMTTCTCAGCAACTCACTGGGAGAGATTTCAGGTTTATCCTCTGGAACATAAGTCATCAGCTTTTTTGGACGACTCATCCTGCTTTTCTTGTTTTTCAATTTCTTTGTTTTAGATGAAGAAATTTTCCCTTCAGTACACAATACCAGTGGAGTGTATGAAAGATCAGGCCTCTTGTTTTCTTCAAATGGATTTTTACTCATCTTCCAGAACTCATCAGATAATCTTTGTGCCTTTAATTTCAACTTGCTCTGGTATTTGTGGCAAGCCTTTGGTCCTAAAATAAAAATGACAGTAGGAAAATATTTTACAAATTACTTTTTTCTGTTCCACATGCCTGCTAAATATTAGATATGCTTGATATTGAAACAAAATTAAACATGTACACTCCTGATCAAAATCTTAAGACCAGTCAAAAAAGTGCAAGAATTTGCATTTTGCWCTATTGGATCTTAAGAAGGTTCTAAGTAGAGCTTCACAATGTTAAAAGAAGATATCTGTGCAAGAGACGAGAACTTTTGAGCAGGGATGAAAACTGCATTTACACTCAAACATGATTTTTTTCAGCTGATAAAAAGTTTAAGACCATAGCTAAAAAAAAAACCAGAAAAAAACCCCAAAACAGAAATCAAAGAGTCAAAAAAAGGACTCAGTAATGAGGAGCTCCACTATTCTTGTTGATGACTTCAAACAATTGTTTAGACATGCTTGATGCCAGTGTTTCCAGGAGGCTAGTGGGAATGTTGCTCCAAGTGTTGAAGATGGCTTCACGAAGGGCATCCACTGTCTGGAACTGATGTCCATTTTTGTAAACTTCCCTTGCCATCTATCCCTAAATGTTCTCAGTTGGGTTTAGATCCGGGGAACATGCAGGATGGTCCAAAAGACTGATGTTATTCTCTTGGAAGAACTCCTTTTTCAGGTGGGCATTGTGAACTGCAGCATTGTCCTGTTGAAAAACCCAATCATTACCACACAGACGAGGGCCCTCAGTCATGAGGGATGCCCGCTGCAACATCTCCACATAGCCAGCTGCTGTTTGACGCCCCTGCACAACCTGAAGKTCCATTGTTCCATTGAAGGAAAACTCACCCCAAATCATGATGGCGCCCCCACCACTGTGCCGTGTAGAAAACATCTCAGGTGGGATCTCCTTGTCATGCCAGTAACGTTGGAAGCCATCAGGACCATCAAGGTTAAATTTTTTCTCATCAGAGAAGACAACTTTCTTCCACCTTTCAYTGTCCCATGTTTGGTGCACCCTTGCAAAGTCCAAAATAAGCGATTTTGTGGCATTGAAGAAGACGTGGCCTTTCAAGACATTTTTTGTTTCTGAAGCTCTTCTCTCACAGATGCCGTCTGATGGTTATTGGGCTGCAGTCAGCACCAGTAATGGCCTTAATTTGGGTAGAGGATCGTCCCGTGTCTTGACYGAKAGCCAATCGGATCCTGTGGCTCAGAGCTGGTGAAATGTTTTTGGGTCTACCACTTGACTTTTTTGTTCCATAACCCTCAGGATCATTTAAAAAATGCAAAATGACTGTCTTACTGCGTCCAGCTTCAGCAGCGATGGCACGTTGTGAGAGGCCTTGATTATGCAGCTCAACAATCCTACCACGTTCAAAGTCCGTGAGCTTTTTTGCTTTTGCCATCAGGAGGTCTTGACAATGTAAAGACTTGACAGAAAATGACATGGAAWCCAGATTTTTGCACAGCTTTTGACTTTTAAAGACTATGGTCTTAAACTTTTGATCAGCTGAAAAAAATCATGTTTGAGTGTAAATGCAGTTTTCAGAAAATTCCCTGCTCAAAAGTTCTCGTCTCTTGCACTGATTTCTTCTTTTAACATTGTGAAGCTCTACTTAGAACCTTCTTAAYATCCAATAGTGCAAAATGAAAATTCTTGCACTTTTTTGACTTGTCTTAAGATTTTGATCAGGAGTGTAGCATGAACGACCGTGACCCCTGACATGACCTTTAGACCACCACGGGTCAAGTCTCACAACTAACTGAACTTTGTTTAAAAAATGCTTTCTTTGAGACAAAACTATACAGTATTTTCTTCAATAATCTGTTACTGTCATGCAGATAATGGTGACAAAACAGTCTGTTTTAATCTTATGTGATTTATTTAGGGCTGCACCGATTAGTTGAAATAATCGATGACGTCGATTATGTAAATTTGTCGACGCAGATTTTTTATTATCGATTCGCTGTATTACATAACCACCACGTGAATGTTCATGCAATTCCATTTCGGTACCTAAATGCATCATTGCGACCGTATTGGCATAAGAATGGTGAGTTTTCAATGCTTGTCCTGAATGCAGCATCGCGCAAGAGCGTAATGACGTCAGCAGCTGCTGCTTCAGTTCAGTCTGAAGCTTGAAAACAAGCCTRGCAYCTCCTGGAGTAAAATTTACCAAAKYYACCYCCTCTGAATTATCTGGTGGATTAATTAACTTGTGCACATGACGTTCACTTGCTCAAAGTAATTAAAGTACAGCCACTTTCTTTATTTCATCCAGCATTAAACAGAGACCGGTGTTAGGTCGAGCCACGTTCCCCCAGCATCTCAAACAACAGAGGAGTTTCCCGACACACGTCTGACCTAAAGAGCACAAGCAGCCAACAAGTGCTGGACGTGTTTTAGATGTTCAAAATGTAGCTTAAATACCTTTGATTTATTTTAACTGCATCCTCTTTTGTTTATTTGATGTAAACATGTTCGCCTTCCATGGACCTCCATCACACATGTTTCTAGTGAAGAAATGACGAATAGAAAGACGTGGAGCTGGATTTTAATTTGTGTCATAAGATAAAACAATCTGTTGTTTTCAACAGTTTTCACTTGTTACACAACTCATGTTACAACACAAACAGTTGGATGTTGTCTTCATATTTGTTAATTTTTATATATTGAGAAATATATTAAATAAAAAAATAAATGAAAGTTTATTATTGAAAAAACAACACATAAAGTACTGAAAGTTGGTACCGTTAAGTACCAGTAC